GGAGTTGAAGTCCGCCAGGCTTCAAGTTGCCAGGGTTGGAGACCCCTAGCCTGGGATAAAAGTGTAAATGAGGCTTCCAGGCAGCCAAAGCTCGGCTTAAGTCTCTAGTCCTCATGGATCCTGCATGGCGGATCATCCCCAAAACGAAGCCACTGATTCATTTTGATTTATAAAGCCATTTAATAGCAAAGCCATTGGGCGCCTTACGGCCGAGCGGCAGAACATTTAAAAACGCGCCTCATAAAAGCAGGAAAAAAAACAACAGTCGCCATGTCGAAAGGGAGGGATGGACGGGGATACTGTTGGACTACAACTCCCAAAGCTCCGCCATGAAAGGCCACCAATTCCCATGACCTCCCCTCGATGCGCACGCGCCTTCCTTTCGAAAGCCGACCACGCCCCTCCTATTATTATTATTTTCTTCCCCCCCTACCCCCGGCAGGACTTAGTTTAGCGCTCGCGCGCGAGCCTCCTTGGTGAAAGTCCCGCGTGGCTTGGCCGGGCGGCTCTCGCGAGACTTAGCGCTTATAAAAGGCAGGCGGCGTTCACGCGGCCGCCTCTTTTCCGCTCAGCCAAGATGGCGCCGAAGGTGAAGAAGGAGGGTGAGCGCGGGCCTCGCGGCCCGAAGTGGGTTGCCGGTTCCCCCTTCCTCCCTCGCCCTTACCCGAAACTGCCTTAGCGTGGCCTCCCCGGGGAGGTGGGCCCGGCTGGGCGCTTCCCTTCCCGCCTTTCCCCTCAGAAAGGCAGCGTGGCCTCCTTACATGCCCCCCTCAGAATGGGGCTGGATGACCGCCCCCCCCCATTCTCTTGAGACCCTTCCCATCTCTCTCTCTCTCCCTCCCCCACATTTAATCGCGCCTCCCGGTTCTCTTGCTGCTGGATTACCGCGCCCATCGTCCCCGGCCTGACGAGGCCTTTGATTATAATAGCCCAGCCTAATTGGAGGGAACTGTGACTGGGGATCGCAGTGCCCATCATCCGTGGTCTGACGAGGCCTTTGATTAATTGGCTGGGCCTGATTGGGGCTGTCATTGGGATCAACAGTGCCCATCATCCCCGGCCTGACGAGGCCTCTGATTGTCATGGCTCAGCCTAATTGGGGGAGCTGTGATTGGGGATCACAGTGCCCATCAGCCCCGGCCTTTGAGTATTCTGGGAGTTGAAGTCTACAAGTCTTAAAGGGGCCAAGTTTGGGGACCTCTGAATTAACCAGAGGAAGGACTTCCCTCCAGATGTTAGGGTTGCTCCAACAGTGGAGGTTTTTATAGGATCTCCTGCCTGAGCGGGGGGTTGGACTAGAAGACCTCCAGGGTCCCACCCTACTCTTGTTAAGTTAGCTGTCCCCCCCCCTTCTACGGGCCGTTTGTTACCCTTGGATTTTTCTTTCTTTCCAGGCCTTTTACTCCCTTGGTTGGTGTCCTCTGGCATTTACTGTTTTATTTGTGTTCTTAAAATGTGCTATTTTCAGGATGGAGGCTTTAGCTTTAGTGAATGGTTGTGATTGTAGCCACGTGGAGCTGGTGCACCTTGATCCTGGGCAAAGCCTTGTGCCTTTTGGAGCTCCCCCCTGCCTGTTCCCCACTGGGCTAATGGAGACCTCCCTTTCCTTCCCAGGCTGGACCATTATGCCATTAAGTTCCCACTGAGCAAGGAGTCAAGCACCAAGAACATTTCCCCCAGGCCGGCGGAGGGGGTTCTGGGGGTTGAAGTCCACGCATGTTAAAGATGCTGAGGTTGAGAAGCACCAATGGGCCACATTCTCCCGCAGTCTGTGTTGCATCCTTAAAGCCCACCATAATTGGTGCCCTTTGCATTTCGTGTAACGTATTTTTGGCTAGACTGTCCCAAAGGTGCTTTCCCAAAAGGCAACTAGACTTGCTTGGATTTTTCTTTGAAACTGTTTCTCTTCTCATCCAAGAAGCTTCTTCGGTTCTAGCTTAGTGAGAGCTGAAGAAGCTTCTTGGATGAGAAGAGAAACTTTAAAAAAAATATTATTTGCGTTTTGGAAAAGCACCTGTGGGACAACGATGACCTGTGGATGATGGAGAATCTCCATGGACATTTGGCTGGGCTTCCACCTTGTTGATGCATCCTGTTTTATCAGCGGCCATGATTCTGGGGGGGGGGGGGGGGAACACCTACAAATCTTTGAGACCCCTTGGAGGCTTGTGGAGGGAGCAGAGGAATGGATGGCCCAGATTACAAGCCTGAGATCTTCTGTACTAAACCCCTTTCTTCCTCCTCCTCCCCCCCGCAGCCGTCCCAGCGAAGACAGAGGCAAAATCCAAAGCACTTAAAGCCAAGAAAGCCGTCTTGAAAGGAGTCCACAGTCACAAGAAGAAGAAAATCCGGACATCGCCCACCTTCCGGAGACCAAAGACTTTGCGGTTACGGCGGCAGCCCAAGTATCCCCGGAAGAGCGCCCCACGGAGGAACAAGTAGGTTGGGTCCTTCCCCCCCCCTCCCCGAAACTCAAAGGGCTTCCACCTTGACAGTAGTGAACCTTTAGAACCGGCCTGTCCAACCTGCCATCCATGGGCTGCTAGGGAGGATTGTAAACTTAACATTACAGGTAGTCCTCACTTTATGCCCATAATTGAGACCAGCTGTTAAGGGAGTCACTGCAGTTGTGAAGTGAATCTGGCTTCCCCATTGGCTTGTCAGAAGGTCGCAAAAGAGGATCATGGGACACTGTAACGGTCATAAATAGTCAGTTGTCCAGCATCCGAATGTAAATTGTAAGCACACAGATGCAGCAACCATCATAAGTGTGAAAAATGGTCATAAGGTGTTTTTTTTTTCAGTGCCGTAACTTCGAGCCGTCACTAAACAAACTTGTAAGTTGAGGACTACCTATATGTGACTTTTAGCAATACTTAACCTTATATATTTAGCATGTGGCCCAGGACAATTCCTCTTCACTCAGTGCAGCCCAGGTAAGCTAGTCAGTTGGGGGTGCCTGCCTTAGAAGCTGGCTCTTCCCCCAGGCCTTGGGCTAGAGTGGATGATGGGACCCTCGTGGGATGGTTCAGTTTATCAGACTCTGTTCTCCATTTTTAGATTGCATCACTAGAGGGATTAGGAGGTCCTAATCCCGCTGTATGTGGCCTTTGTCAGACACACACACCCACCCATTTAGAATCCTGTGTGTCCAGATCTAGAGACCTCACTTTAATAAATGATAACTGGATATCCAGTTGAGCTAACCAGCCACTGGCCACTGGTGTTGCTCTGTGCAGATCTTCTAGGGCAGGGGGGGGTCCCCAAACTTGGCCACTTTAAGACTTGTGGACTTCCAACTCTCAGAATTCTCCAGCCAGCAGAGCTGGGAGTTGAAGTCCACAAGTCTTAAAGTGGCCAAGTTTGCAGGCCTCTGTTCTAGGGAACCAGGGCATGCATGTCGTGGGCAGTCTTTCACAATGTGTTTAATTCTTTGCACATTAGCATCACAGTCGCAACGAGGGGAATCTTTCCATCCCCCCTGATGCAGGGAAGAGTCACTTCTTCCAGTGTCACACCTAATTCCATTCAATTTTATTCGGTCAGAGCGAGGCAGGTTAAAGCCAGGTGGTTTGATAGGGGGATCACCAAGAACTGGTAGCGCAGTGGTTAGAGTGCAGTGTTGCAAGCTGACTCTTCCCACAGCCAGGGGTTCGATTCTGACCGGCTCCAGGTTGACTCAGCCTTCCATCCTTCCGAGGTTGGTCAAGGGGGGTCCAAATTTTTTTTTTTTTGGTGGGGGGGGAGAGGCTGACTCTGTAAACTGCTTAGAGGGGGCTGCAAAGCACTGTGAAGCTGTATATAAGTGCTATTGCTGTCTATATGTCTGTTTATCCCATCCATCCATCTTATCTCTATATTTAAGAGGCCGTGGTGATGCAGTGGTTAAACCGCTTAGAGACAGCTGTGCCGTTAAAGCACCGTGCAGCGCTATATAAGTCTGAAGTGCGATGGCTTATTGCTATTTCTCTGTCCAGGCATTCTTGCTGTTTTCCATGCTGGCCTACGGGAATGTGAAAATGTGCTTTTCACTCAGGCTGAGCCTCTCCATGTTCAGACCTTGCTATCAAGTTCCAATTTTGTTTTGTCTGGAGACCATGGGGCTTCTTGAGCAAGTACAACAGCTAGAAAGATGCTAGGGACTGTTGAATTTGCAGGGGCCTTAGAGAAAGCAGTTCTGCACGACAGGACAGAAACCCACCATCTTATTCTCTACCTGGAAGCCCTCCAGCTCTTCTCAGGGCTCTCTCTTCCCTGCCTCCTGCCCCTCCCAGTTCTTTTTTCCAGGTTAAACCTTCCCAGTGCCCCCATCTGTTCTCCCAGGCCTTCCCTTATATTCCTGGGGCCTCTTCTCTGGACGTGTTCCAGTTTGCCGAGAGCCCTTCTCCAAATCCGGTGCCCGGGTTGTGGTGCTACCCTCCTGGTGGCGGCCTGATTTGATGTCCCTTTCTGCTCAACCAGGTTATTCCTGTTGGCCCTTCACAGGTGGTGAAGAAGCCCCTTTGTTCAGGATCGAGGCTGCGCGTGATGAAGCTTTAGCGACCAAAGTCTGAATGGCTGTGATCGTAGCCACAAAGAGCTGATGCACCTCAGTCCTGGGCAAAGCTTTGTACTTTTTGGGGCTCTCCCTGGCCTGTTCCCCAGCAGGGCTAATGAAGACCTCCCCTTCCCTTCCCAGGCTGGACCATTATGCCATCATCAAGTTCCCACTGACCACGGAGTCGGCCATGAAGAAAATTGAGGACAACAACACGCTGGTCTTCATCGTGGACGTCAAGGCCAACAAGCACCAGATCAAACAGGCGGTCAAGAAGCTGTATGACATTGACGTGGCCAAGGTCAACACCTTGATCAGGTAAGAGAGCAGGTGGGGAGCGTGACGGGGATGGGTCCCGGGGCCATTTCGTGCAGATGATGGTTGGATTTTCCGACTGAGCTAAGTGATGTTTTCAAAGGAACCTCTGATGCACGAAGAATCCTTTAGAGCAGCAGGGCTCCACCCTTGGCCACACTGAGTCTGGTGGACTTCAACTCCCAGAATTCCCCAGCCAGCTTCAAGACTAGTAGAGTTGAAGTCCACCAGCCTTAAAGCTGGCTAGGGAGTTCAGGCTGGGGGATTCTGGGAGTTGTCCACTTAAAAGTGGCTAAGATTGAACTCCCATGTTTTAGAGACAGTGGAGGGGATATGTGGTTAATATGAAACTTAATAAAGTTAGCCCAGCTTAAAATCTATTGGGAAGGATCCATCTCTTGTTAAAACAGCCATTCTGACTGGCAGAACCGAAGTCAGAACCGTTGGAGTTCGGGTCGTTTCTAGTCGAAGCACTTCGAAAATAGATTTAGAGCAGAATCCGTCCAGTGATCTGAAGCGTGTAAACAGGGGTGTCCAACCTTGGCAACTTTAAGACTTGGGGACTCCAACTCCCAGAATTCAACTTTAAGACTTGGGGACTTCCACTCCCAGAATTCAACTTTAAGACTTGGGGACTCCAACTCCCAGAATTCAACTTTAAGACTTGGGGACTCCAACTCCCAGAATTCAACTTTAAGACTTGGGGACTCCAACTCCCAGAATTCAACTTTAAGACTTGGGGACTCCAACTCCCAGAATTCAACTTTAAGACTTGGGGACTTCCACTCCCAGAATTCAACTTTAAGACTTGGGGACTTCAGCTCCCAGAATTCCACAAGTCTTAAAGTTGCCAAGGTTGGACACCCCTGGTGTAAACTCTCTAGCAACAAGTGGCTTAGTGCTTTTCCCCACCCTGGGCATGTGGGAAAGAGAAGCATCCGTGAGTAAATTTTGTGTCAGATGAAATCAGGAGATGATAGGTGTTCCTTGACTTACACCACAATTGAACCCAACATTTCTGTAGCTAAGTGAAAGTTAAGTGAGTTTCGCCCCATTTTAGGATCTATGTTGTTAAGTGAATCACTGCTGTTCTGAAACTAGTAGCATGGTTGTTAAGTGGATCTGACTTTCCTGCTGACATAGAATAGAATAGAATTCTTTTATTGGCCAAGTGTGGTTGGTCACACAAGGATCACCCGATAGTCTTGGTGCAAATGCTCTCTGTGCACATAAAAGAAAAGATACATTAGTCAAAAAAAAGTCAAGAATCATCAGGTACGACACTTAGTGATAGTCACAGGGGACAATAAGCCATCAAATCACACTGGGAAACAGTCCATATAAATCGTAAGGAGACAAGCGACAAAGTTACAGTCCTACAGTCACAAGTGGGAGGGGATGGGCGATAAGAAGTGATGAGAAGATTAATAGTAGTGCAGACTTTGTAAATAGTTGGACCGTGTTGAGGGAATTATTGGTTTAGCAGAAGGTCGCAGAAGTGGATCACATGACCCCGGGAGAATGCAGCCGTCATAAATAGGAACCAGTTGCCAAGTGGCCAAATTTTGATCACGTGGCCACGGGGATGGCTGCAACGGTCATCAGTGAAAAACGCTCCTCATTCAGTTTTTATCAGCAGCGTTGTAATGTTGGTCACTAAAGGAATGGTTGTAACCCGAGGACTAGCTGCATTCCATCGGTTTCGTTTGGGTCGGCAGCCTCTGCTCTGGGGGAATCAGACTGCGCCCCAATTCCTGTGCTGAGGAAGCCAGTCAAGTCCTAGATCAGCAGAAGGAAAAACATTGGCATTAATACCTGTAAATGTCTTGGGAGATTCTCCAGCCATCCTGGTTGTCCCAAAGGTGCTTTTATTTTATTTTTTCAAGAGGCAATGAGGTTTTTCTTTTGAAGACTTTTCGCTTCTCACCCAAGAAGCTTCTTCAGCTCTGACCCGACAGTAGGGAAGGATTGATATTCCTTGCAGACAGCTGGTCATTTGCAACCTTTGAGAGGGTCGTTGAGGCCACCTGGAGGTTGACCCCCCCTGAGGACACAGATAAACCTCCA